TAAAAATATTTCATGTGGAACACACGCAAGCAGCTTAGAGTAGCTCCTGGGTAATGTAATTCGATAGCGTAACGAGCTGCATATTCCCCAAGTGATTTACATCTTATAATAACACAAACAATAGTTATACACAGTTCAAAGGGCAGTAAAACAATCAAATTGAATTATAAATAAATGTATAATGTGTAACTAATTTGTCATTATGTATTTATTTTAATATGAACGTTGTTTTGGGTATAGAAAATAATAGTTAAAATATAGTTTTATTGATAACAAACACTTGAAATGTATTTAGAAGGTTTTAGAGATTACACAAATGAAATTTGAGATTTTTGAGATGAAGAAAAGTATTTTTAATCTTAACATGAAAATCACTTTTCACACAGACTATTCAAAACAAACACTTGATATATTCAAGAACAAATCTTTTTTTAGTTTATTAAAAATACTTCACTAAATAATACGAGTACAAAAAGGTCATGTGATCGGTCAAATTTATCGAGCCCACATGGAGAGAGTTAAGTAAATAAAAGTTGCTGAGTGTACTAATGCCATTACTATAAAAAACTAGGCTTAAGTTCCATTGGCAACAGATAGCAAAAAACAAGAGGTCAAAGGTAAGTATAATAATTTTTGTTTTTCATGTATATTTTTTAATGTAAAAGCAACTAAACTACAAAAATTAGAAACTTATAATGTTAAATTAGGTAAGACAAAAAAAATAATAAAAACCTTCACTAGGTTTGCTCAAGAGCAGCGTGTGTGTAATGTAATTCAATATGGTAACATGAACCATGCTATCTCTGAGTGATTTACAACTTCTGTGGTAGAATTATTAGTTAGATACAGTTCAAAGGGTAAATTAAATTAAACAAACAGGTGTAGACTGTTATGCAACTAAAGATATTTAGGATAAACAACTATCTTCTGTGACAATTTGCAGAGATTCTATAAAGAAAAAAGGGTAACAGATTTATTTTGTATTTTTTATGGTGGTTACGAGGTCAGTTAAATTGATTGAGTATGTATAGTTAGGGTATAGAAATAAATAACATATATAGTTTGAATGTGAAAAAAAAGTTTGGTATTTTTTTAGGTTTTAGAAGTTACACATGAAATTTAAAAATTTTCAAACTAAGAAAAGTATTTTTAATGTTAACATGAAAATGACTTTGCACTTGGAGCACTCAACAAAAGACTTGTATTGTTTAGAGAAAGTTCCTCGATTTTATGAAGATACACAAAATGTGTTAAAAGATAGAGTATGGCTGATGATTATTTTGTCATTACAGGGATGGTCACATCAGCCAACCTCGAATGGAAAGTTGATTGTTATCCTTACTGTTCAATTATTAGCTTTACCATGACATGGTTAAAGCCTTAAACACCATTTTAGAATGGTATAGTTGTATTTCATGAATCAAAACACTTAGTGCACAATGAAAGTTTTGTATTTTACAGGTAGGAAAATAATCAGGTACTTAAATGACCAGCTGTGAAAAAGCAAAGTTCTTTCACTGTTCACTTTAGTTAAACTAGCATTGTACGGGTTATCAACTTACAGAATTAGTGAAAGTTGATAGTCATAATACTTTAGAGTTTTGAACACTTGTATTGCCAAATTGAAATCTTTCAGCCTTTCTATTTTTCAGAGACCATTGAAATAATGAAAAAAAACACAAGTAATAAATAATTACTTTCTTCAAATAACAGAGTTGAGACTAATTGGCAGAAATTTAGAGATTGAAGAAAAGTGGAACAATACAAACTACTTATGTTGTTTTAAGTTAATGAATATAGCCTAAATTGTCACTGAAACCAAAACAAAAAAATACCAAATGACCCACATTAAAACAATGAATATTAACAGAAAGTTAACAAATAATCACTTATAAGCACACTTATTATATGAAACATATAGTATTTTCTCTAAAAATCAGTCTGTTAATTTACCACTGATTCAACATAATGTGCTTACCTACACAAGTAATGAACAACAATTTAAAATGATTTTTTTAAACAGTGGACTGCAAGTACATTTACATCATAATTTTTGTTCTTTTATCATAAGTAAGTTTAACTATATTACAGGATAAAAAATTAAAGAGTGGGTGTGAAAGGAAAATATTGAAGTACCAAACCATCCTTTGTTATATATATTTGTTCTTCCACAGCTGTCAAACTTCACTCTCAGAATTTAACACCCAAAGGTTGACACCTTACACAAATTTATGATAGAAATGAATGAATCCCTAAAAAATGAGTTGATTAAATTTTAGAACTTTCTCAATAGTAGATGTGCAAGGAAAGATTTGAAGGACCAACCATTCTTTTTTTATGATATTCTCTTCATAATAGCCTTTTCGGCAGAAATTATCTTGAATTTGTATAGAATATAATTTCCTGAACCAGTCAAACTTAGAGAAATATTACCTTGAGAACCAAAAACATTGATCTCTAACAGAAATTAGAGGTTATGTGCAAATTTCACTCTTACCATCTTAGTAATACAGAGGAAGGTTTTTTGTATCCTTATAACTGTAAAATGACTGGTTTAACTAAATCTTCTATTATTGTCACATAAAACTGAAAATGGTTTCTCTACTTACATTGTAATATATTTCATCAACAACTTCATGGTAGGTTTTCAACTGATAAAGGTTTACTTTGAAGTAATGAGAAGAAAGTATATTTGTTAGTATCAAATTATTCAAATTCATTGTCTTTTCATTACCCCAAACTGGTAGAATGTTATTTTTTTTATCTGTTGATCCAGATGACATGTTTTCGTGATGTATGTACCGATATCTGGAAACACAAAAATATTATAATTACTCTACTGTTCACTTCTTTTCATTCAAAATTTTCATGGGCAAATTTTACAATACTTAAAGATGTAATTTCAAGGTACAAGATTTATCAATTTTCCTAAACCACCTTTCAGGAGTATTACTGTAAATCATTACTATTCTGTTGTAATTTAGTAAAATTTTAAAACTCTTATCTGAATATTTCAACTGACCTACATTAAATGTGTAAAACAACTAAGCTTGACAAGATATTAAAAATCTGAGCTCTAAGCCTGTTTTTTGAAAAATTGAATACACCATAATAAAAACAACTTTTGTTTGCATTAGGGGAGAAAAACTTTAGTTACTGCATTTATATAGACATACACTGTGCTGTTAGCTTAACTTGGACCATATTAAAATAAAACATTAGTTATTTTCATATACCTTTGTTTTAACTTAAACTAATGATAACTCACCCAAGCTTAACTCTATGGATTTAATACAACTAGATTTTTAAAATATTTCAATATCTACTATAGAACTGCCCTTTAGTTTAATTAAAATTTTCTGTTTATTTATGCTGATAACTTATTTTCAAAGGTATAAAAATTATTATATATAAAATAAGGAAAATGTTATTTATGTTTAAGAACTAGTTAACTGAAATGGACTTTCACAATACATTATTTCTTTTTATAGGTCTAAAATTTTGTTCAGTTTTCTTTAATAATAATAGCAATTATAAATATTTACTTATGTATAAGCATCATACCAACATTTTTTATTTCAGGCTCATTTATTTTAATCATACAATGATAACCTACCTGAATTTCAAATGTCATAAGTGGATTTTTTCGTCATTAACTTCATTATTTATTTTACACTGTGAAACAAAAGTTCTTATATTTTCACAAGTTTAATTTTACTCCAAGTCAGTGATAATGCAAGTATGTTAAAATGCTAAGCTTGTGTTAATGCACAAGCATACAACCTATTTTGATGGTTAGACATACATAGCTCTGCACTAGTAGGGCTGGTATGTATATCAGCCATGCACATGTCTGTTCAGTGCAACGGCCCACTACAAATACAATTTCCTTCAATATTTCAAGAAATACTAAAATGCATTCAATAAAACACATCCCTAACACAAATATAAGCTTACACACCTGAGTTGGCTATATTTTTGTGACAAAACATAACCAAAGCCTCAATATTAAATATCACACCATCTGAAATGAGACTCTCACTTACAAGACTTATTCAAGTTCTTGAAATGACATTTTAAAACATCCTGTACCAATACTTCACTATCACTTATGTCATCCTCAGGTTGTGCCTGAGGATGACAGTGTTGTTGAAACATCATACATTTATCATACACAAGAGTGCTTATGGGAAGTTGTGTACTCTTCCTCTTCTTTCAATATTTCAACACTATCTTCAGTAACTCAAAACCTAGGTGTGTCAATTCTGAAATTTCAATGTATTCAGAGCAATTCTTCTTTTTGAAGTCATGTAAATATTTAAGATTAGTATAAGTTATGTTCTAATTATTAATATATCAAATCTGAGTAACGCAAATACTAACATTAACAGTTCAAACTTAAAACTTTTATTTAAAACTAAAAGTGATAAGTTCGTTCGAGTTTTAAATTATACAACTCAGTCTCATACTACATTAACTCATGATTAAGTACATTACTAGTAACAGTATAAACATAAAAATAATAGCACAACTTATATATGTTACAATTTAGGTGATATTATAGCGCATTTTTTAGTTCATGGTATGAAAGTTATAGAAAAATACTGAAACTTTAAAGTAAGTCAAATACGAGTTCGAGACCCATCTAGTGTATTAGGCCTACAGTATATGCTCGCGCCTGCGCTTGCGAATTTTAAACTGTGTACAATGTAGGCTTACTGGTGCTGTTGTTAAGCCTACAACGTACAAGTTAAATCGTATGAAGAAGTGAAATTCGGATGAGCACGCTAGTTTAATCAATTCGAAATTTGTCTTAACCTTCCTATTTTAACTATCACTTCTTCATAAATGCAATCCATGTGAAATCTAAATATATCAGTAATGAAGTAAATATAATAATTTATGTTTAAAGCAATTTTATCAAATTCTTACCATACAAGAAAATGAACCAAGAAATATTTCTCCCTCCAATCCGCATCACAAGAAGAATACAACGGTGAAAGTTTAAGAGCTTATGATTGGCCCAAAACTACTTGTTTGCTCCCCCTATGTAAACCATATATATTTATATCTATTTTAAATATTTATGACAAACTTCGAAAAAACTAATTTTACTCTCCAGGTAACAAAAAAACTTTTTATTTCAACTTAGTCTCGGCATTGTGGCTTCATCGGGGCTCTTACAAATACTGATTGATTGGAAAATATACTTTCACTTATAAAATAGTTTTTGATTTGTTTGTTTTAGAGCAAAGCCACATTGAGCTATCTGCTGTGTCCACCGCATGAAGTCGAGCCCAGGATTTTAGCGTTGTAAGTCCCTAAACTCTCATTTTCACAGGGGACTTTGCTTTTAATGTAAAGGTAATTTTTTTTCTAACTTTATTCTTAAAATGTCTAGATTCTTCCATGATGCATTAAATGTTAAGAAAAACAACAAAATTATTTCAAATAGTAGCTGAATTGATAATGATAATCACTTATCAATCAAAAGCAAATTCTTTATGGACATATAGGTTTTCTGTTTAGATTATATAATTTATATTTTGTGTTCTGATAGATGAGTGTATGTATTTTCTCATAGCAAAGCCACTAAGGGCGATGTGCTGTGTTCACCGATGGGAATCGAACTCCTGCTTCATATTTTCATCTATCGGGGACAGCGGTAACTCTACGGATTCACTACACAAAACATATATATCTGCACACTGGATGTACACTGAGTGGTCACAAGTAAATAGGCACCTACTTTTTAGTCATTTAACTGATTTATGCTAACTAATTTGTGTTCACAGAGCACTATATAAATGAAAATGGTCTGCACACTAATTATTTTATGCTACAACATGCCTAGAACTCAAGGTTCTCTCGAATTGTCAGAATTTGTTAGAGGAAGGATAGTTGGTCAAGCAGATGATGGAATAAGTCAGCAGCAGAATTTGGGAATCCGGCTTTCGACAGTCAACAGAATCATCGTGCAGTTCAGGAAACACGGCAAGGAAACAACTGAGCAGCATCCGGGTCGTCCTGGTCCGTCGGAGAGGACAAAAAGGGCTGTCAAGAGGAGCGTCGAAATGGATCCCAGATTAATGACTGCAGAAGTAGCCAAAGTTGGTGGGATGAGCCCGAAATCTGTTCAACGGATTCTCCACAGATTGGGTTATCGTTGTAGAGCAGCTAAACGGAAGCCCTTATTAAGAGCTGCC